TGCTTGAAAAACGAAGAGAATGAACTCAATTATTATTTGTCAAATCAATTCGATTTAGCTGACTTTCAAAACCCAATGGAATTCTGGAATGTTTAAAATTAACAACCCTCAAAAGTACCATACGTTGATAAATTTAGCACAGAAGTTCATGTCAATTTCTGCTTCGGAAATACAATCGGAACAGGGGTTTTCACAAGCAAAGTTTTACTTAATCCAATACTCAAATTGTATATCAGGCGAGCAATTCAACGAAGAATATGTTGTTGGTATTAACGAATCATGCAAATTAAATCACTGTTCTTAATTTTATATTTATTTTTATATATATATTTAAATAATTATATAAATATGTGATTATAATTTAATCAAATTGATAATAAAATAGTAACTTTATCATTTGAAAGTATTTAAAATATGATTTAATATTGTATTAATTATATATTTTTTTACTAAATTTTTAGTTAATAATTATGTTTAAATAAATTTCTTTTGTAATAATCAAAAATACATTTTTTAACAAATAACAAAACTTTTACCAAAAAGATAAAAAATACACCAAAAAATGTAAATTTATATATTTTTTCTTTGACAACACGTGGCTGCTAATTTTTTGTTTTTCTTTTTTTAGTGACGTGTGTTTTTTTTCTTTAAAAAAGATTTAATATTTTTATTATACTTTTATAATTGAATTAACTAATAAATAAGTGCACATTAAATTGAAAACATTTGTTTAATTAAGGGGTATTTTGATGATTATTCTAAAATCGTAAACTTGAAAGAAAATAATTATCTAACCAAAATCTAAAGTAGCCCCAAATTAAACATTATTAATGTTATAATATATTGAAAAGAAATAAATAAAACATTTTTTAATTATATTTCACACTTTAAAAACAAAATCACAACCTCATTATTTATATTTTAATTTAAATGAAGACTATTAAATTATTTTTAAAAGGTATTAGTTAAAAGTGACAGTATTGTCTGCAATTTTTTGACCCAAATACAATAATTATTATTTATATGAAAAAATGTATAAATTATATAATACAATATGTGTAATGTAAAAATCTTTTATCTCCAACATTCTTGTATTAGACTCTTCGTTACACTTAATTAAAGAATTTAGTTGTGGAAAGAGAAACTACTTACACTTTTCTGAATCAATATTCATCTACAAGTAAAAATACACCAGTTGTAATAGTAAACCAAATATATCAATCACTGTTTAATTAACAAATGTAAGTCGTCGGAATAAACACTTTTAACTACAAAAAGTATTCTATACATTATAATTATTCTTCATCAAAAAAATATTGGTTAATTTTTTTTAAACGACATAATAATAAACAACATGTGTTCAATATGTGTCACACACTATGAAAATGTAATTCATAAAATAATTGTTGATATAAATAATTTCATAATGAGTCAAATCATGAACAAAATCAAGAAAGATACGTCCTCCACAAGTTTTAGTTGTTAATAAATATGATTTTTTTAAAGTTTGAATATTTTTATTTTTGGTTTTTAATTGAAAAAAAATATTATGTATGAGGTAATGATTATTTTAAATGAGATTTATAAAAAATTAAATATAAAAACAAATAAACTCTATTAACATACAATGGAAAACGAGTTAACAGCACTCTCAACACTCTGCACTAACGCAGCAAAGGCGGTGTCAGACCTCAACAAAAATAACAAGGAATACAACTTTGTTGACGACATGTCACTTGACATTGATCAACGCATTGAAAATGCAGAAGGACACTTCGACAGACTTGATGAGGTATTTGAAAGAAAGAAGAACATCACAACTTCACTCAACACCATCGTCACCGATTTGGACAACGCATCAAATAAAATCAAAAGTGAAATAAGTCTGTATGCAACAGAGAGTGATAACGACAAGTTGTATGAGATATTTAACATCAAAATAGTACTTTATGAGGAAAAGTGCCAAATGGACATAAAACCATTTGAAGATGAAATCAACAAAATCAAACAAGCAAAAAACAATAAAGTTGATCAAATTATGAAATCGGAGAAATTTATCAATTCAAAGAAACAACGCGACGAAAAAGAGAAAGCCGGTCTTGAGAAATTGACAGGAATGAAAATTGGGAGTGTTGTATTTAAATCGGACAAAGACGACTGGTCAACAGGAACCTCAATGTTTGGTGCAAAAGTCATGAACAAAAACAACTTGTGCTTTTTGGTAGAAGACACAAATCACAACAAGTTTGGTGGCGTGTTCACTGGTAATATCAATGCTGTTGGCAAATGGCTCAACAGTGGCAGTTCTTATATATTTTCACTTGTAAGAAGTGGCACTTTGAATCCAAAAAAGTTCGGTAAAAATGGAAATTCCAATTACGAATTTTATATTTATCCTCAAGACGAACAATATCTCTTTGCATTTGGTGGTGGTCGTGATATACTTGTGTACAAAAAAGGCATTAATGGCAGTCATTGCGACCCATCCACTTACGCCGCCAAACAAAACGATTTGACTGATAATGACAAATTTACACCAAAGAGTGTTGTTGTCTTCCAACTTAACTGATTTATTTATCAATTTTTATGTTTTTGTATCAAATATTTGCAACACGTTGACAATTGAAGTGTCCCTTTTGTAATTTGCCACGTCACCACAACATGAATTAATGTACACAAGTTTTAACAAAATCTGTTTTTTTTGAAGGGCAGGACAGACTGAAAGAAAACGGGTTTTACCCTTCAAACCTAACACTGGAACGAACACTCGATTAGGACATCTTTGATGTTTCTAGTTTTTCAGGCATCTCCTCTTTGTGTCTTGTATCTTCCGGAAATGGATTCACGACGCCGCAACTCGCCGGGTTCAACAAGTTTCGCCAGTTGCGGCATATCTACTCTTTGTGTCCCGTTGTATCTTTATGAAGTATGTTAATTGAAAAGTAGTTTGGTATTTTTAATTTATTATGGGTTTTTTCAAACTACAAACTATAGTAATTAACTATTAGAATCATATTAAAGTTAATATTGTCATCTAAAAACAAATAGCACAAATGTTGATATAATTAATTATAATTTAATAGTTTGGTAACACAAATTTTTAAAGCAACAAACTAAGAAAAGAACAATAGACATAATTAGAATATTACAATTGACAGTATATAGCAAATTGACTATTTTAAATAAATAAAAACATCAGTGATGTTGTGAAATGAATCGCTACTTTTAAATGTATTTTTGCGTTCTACAGATAAAGTAAAAATGACTTTATCAATTTGTATCGATTTTGTATCGAAACCCTGGTTCCTTATTAAAAGAGAACATCACAATCTTTTTGTCATTGGAAATATCCATTACTCAATGAAAATTATTGAGTAATTAAAAGGCATTTCTTTTGGAATTATTAGAGTCCACCCATAGACTCTGAATTAGACTTTTAATTCGAGTCTTTATTTCAAAGACTCGAGGCATCTAGTTGAAATTAAACTATAAAAAATAATAAAAATATCATATTTTTTGATAACTAGACTCTTGTATTTCAACTGGATTTTAATTTAAAAAAACTAAAACAGAAATATAATAATTATTTATCCTTGTCTTTTTGTGTTTTACTTGAATCGAATTGTTCTTGGTCTTCTTAAGTAATTGCACTAACCCGATCAACTTCAAGTTGTTTGTTGTTCAGATCTTCACCAGCCTTTCTGACCTGTCTTCCAACTCGGCAATTCTCAATTTTCCATCTCTGACTTATTGTCGAGCCTTCTTCAAATCGGCTTGTGTCTTACCAATTTGGGTGTTAATTGTAGACTCCTTCTGTTCGAATTCTGCAAGCTTTCTTTCAGCCTCTTCAACCTTTCTAGCATACTGTTTAGCTTGTTTCTTAGCTTTAGCAGTCGCGTTTTGTGCTTCTTCCTTTTTTGTTTCGATTCCTTCGAATTCTGTTTCATAATTCGCTTTCAACTTAGCAATAGAAGCTCCAGTAGCACCAGCTTCTGCCAATTTAGCTTCTAAATCGGCGACTTTAGCTCTAAGTCTTTGAGTTTCCTTGTCGGCTTCTTGTTTCATTGTTCTCTCCTTCTCAAGTTCCTTCTGTGAATCAGCTTTTTGAGCAGTCAATGAGTTAATAAATTCATCAACATGTTCCTTATATTCACCGTATTCGTTCTTTATCACTTCTCTGAGTTTGTCTGCATTGCTCTTCTTCTGTGCTTTAAGGGATTCATGAGGATTGTTAATTTTTCTGAGGATGATAAATATCTTAATCATAATTTCTTTCAATTTGGATTTTTTTGCCTAAGATCAAAAAGGTATATTTTGAAACACATGATATTTTAAGGGTTTCTTGAGGATAAGGTGTATCCTCAGGATAAAAGCTATCCTTATTAAAAAATATTTTTCTGAGGATACAAAAAACAAATCCATAAGGGTCAGTTCCCCATAAAGCCCACTCTCATAACTCAAGTTATAATTTACACTTAATATTACGAATCAAAGTTAAATTTTAAATAATGGTAATAATTTGTCATAAATGCCAAAAAATTAAAAACAATCAAAAAATCGTTACGATAATCAGTAAACAAAAACAATAATTATATCTCGCGAACTTGAGACGGGAAATAACAAAGTGTGTATTAAACTTGTTCATATTATGATTATAAACTTATTGATATTATTTACGAATCCTTTTTAATAACAAAATAATTTAAATCTACATTTAAATTGATAATTGTTTTTTTATCAAAATGAAAATTGAAAAAGTCGAAAACACTGATTTAATAAAAATGTAATTTTTAGAATAACAAATTTATTAATAATTTTGTAATTTATGCAATTATTCAAATTTATTATAATAACAAAGTTAATCATATTGTGTATATTTTAATATGATTGTTTCATTTTGATATTAACTTGTGTTTTAAACAGATTTACAGTTCTGAGGATGGCAATTATTTTCTGAGGATGACAGAAATAGAAAGTTTACACTTTTACATCTATCTGAAATGTATATTGAGCAAGTTACTATTTTTGAACATGGGAACACGTCATTTCACTTTTTAGATGTTTAAGTCTGTGTTGATAAAGTCTGTTTGTTACACGACTTACCATCCTCAGAGATATGTATAGCACTGCCATTATTGATTTAAAATTCTATAAATAAAATTATCAAAGAATTTTTATAAAGTGAGTTTTGTTAATTGATTATATCAAAAATCGTCAAAACACAACAAAAACGCCAATTAATATATAAAATTGATTAATAAATTGAACACATTTCTATTGAGAATTAATATCGTATAAAAAATAATATAAACATATATTTCTTGTGTATATATGTTTTGAAATATAAATAAAACCGTTTAAAACAAAAATGATTTTATTTTACAAATTTGTTCATTTATCAATCGTTGTTTCATCGATATTCAAAACCTCTCGTTTTGAATTTGCGCAAATACATAAATTGTCATCGCATAGAGTATACGTTATTAATACGTTATTTGCTATCAATTTTTATTGTTTGAAATATCATGAATTGATTTATAATAAATTATTTTTGTAAAAAAATTAAAAATTGTTCAATTAATTTGTTTTGTGATTATGATTAAAAAATCGACTTTTTCGATAATTTAAATGTTTGTTATATGTTTCCATTTAAACCAAAGTTAGTCTTGTGGTAAATCAGAAAATAGAAATAGATTATTTT